AATGGACCAAAGAATCTTTTGTGTCTTAAATGATAGTGCACAATACAGGAAATGTAGCTGTTACTGAGCTGTAATGTAGGCTTGGTTCTACCATATCTCTATTTTGTGTTTATGTTTGTGTATGCATGTACTCCAAAGTCTTTCTAATTTTAATTTCCAAAAACGTATACATTGCTTTAACAATACATATGGTGTGTCATATTACAGATGGGGTCACAGTGGTTATAAAGAGTTATACCCTGAAGAATTTGAAACAGACAGGTAAGGAAAATGGGCTTACCAAAAGAAACTAAGATGGTACAAAATCTGTATTATAAATTGATTTTCTAACTTTTACAAAGAATATACTTGCCATTGAAAATGTAGCTAGAGAAACAATAGGTGATTTAGTTAGGAGGTGATCCCTGTTTTGCCATTCTGTGGTTGATGTCTGGCATGTCTGTAAGCATTTTGGTTTTTATATATAGTACTCCATACAGTAACCCAGTATGGCAGCTCAGAATTTTTACCTTCATTTTAAAGAAGAGGAAACAAAAACTCAATGAGAATATTAAAGTGTTAAAGTATATGTTAAAGTGCTGATTTAAAATTCAGATGTTAATCTCAATTTTTTTATCTAGAATGCAAAATATTAAAATAATATGCTTTTTTTTTACATAAAAGCTTCTATTTTTTACTTTTTTATTAGTAGTGATCAGCAAGATATTACCAACGGGAAAAAAACATCTCCCCAGGTAAAGTCATCTACTCATGAATCCCACAAACACAAGAAGTCAAAGAAATCCCACAAAAAAAAGCAGAAAAAAAGGTCACACAAAAAACAGAAGAAAAGCAAAAAGGAAGCCACAGATATAACAGCAGATTCCTCGAGTGAGTTCTCAGAAGAAACGGGGGCTTCTGGTACAAGGAAAAGGAAACAACCACATAAGCGCAAGAAAAAATCCAGGAAAAAGTCTCTCAAAAAACCTGCTTTATTCTTAGAGGCAGAAGGTAACACTTCACATTCAGATGATTCAGCATCCAGCAGTTCTGAGGAAAGTGAGGAAAGAGACACTAAGAAAACCAAAAGGAAAAAGAGAGAGAAAAAAGTCCATACGCCTGTAGCCAACAGTGAAATACAGGAGAGGACAAACAAACGCACAAATTGGAAAGTAGCTACAGATGAAAGGTCTGCTGAGAGTTCAGAGGATGACTAAATGGGAAACACTTTTGTTTTCCACATGACTGTGGATATTTACAGTTCTTACTTCTTGTGGTTTTGTCAGTGACTCTTGTTCAGCACAGGGCCTGAGGTCAGAGCTGTCTTGTGCCATCCTTATGTTCTGACAGACTTCTTGTCTTCTATTTTGGCGTTAAGCTTGATCCCCTTTTCTTGTTAAAGGGGAATCTGGTATTTTGTTATGAAGGTTTCTTGAAGAGATTATTTTTTTTGCATTAATTACGTTTAGTGTAGAGTGCATATACAGCAAATTAAAGGACCCAGAAAGCTGGATCCAATAGTGACCTGGGTACACCAATCAGAATATTGAATTTGGGGAAGTCAAGGGCTGGGATCAAGAGGTGGATTGGAACTAATGCCGTGTAGGATGGTATGACAAGGCAACACTATATTGCTCTCTGTTTATATAGCAGGTGTCACAACTGACTTGTCTTTAGCCTTGGTGCTTTGATCCTTCTGTATTTTGACCCCACAAGTGTGGTCCAGTTTACTTAATCAGGAAATGGGCCGAAGAACAAACCTTTTCCCTTCATGATAACATCCATAGACAACTTACTAGAAGGGACTAGAGTTTTCACAAATTTCCCTGCTGGACGGGGCAGATAGCTATACTTAGTATACGCCTAAACATGGTTAATTGGATAGTAAATGGTTTTCTAGTTCCATTGCTGTATATTTGCCTAAATGGACTTGTGTTCAAATTATTTCTTCAGTTGTCATAGATAACCCTCTACCAAATGGGGAAGAATTAGGAAATAATCATGTTGTCTAATGGTACTCTGGATTCAGGGCAGCAACTGCCATTTAAATGTTGTCTTGTTTATTTCTAAATCTGTTAATGAAGTTTAGGTTTTCCCTGAAACTAAGTTGAATTATTTTCCAAAACGAAATAGGCTTCTCAGGGACATATCCACTTCTTCCCAGTCTGCCTTTGGATTAAAGCACCAAGCAGAGACCACATTATTTCCCTTCACTATACTGTGATCCTTAGTATGTTCAATTCTTAAGAAACCAAAATATCACTGAAAGAAGGCTGGCAGAACACAGGTGAATTTTTTCACTATGGGAAGAAAGATCAAGTGACATATTGTTATTTTTTCCTGGTTGTCACTTAATGGGCTGAGTAAAAAGCTTGAAAACTCACTTTTGGTCTTGGTTCTGCCACTCATTGGTTATGAGGAGGCCCAGAGCAGGTAAGTTCACCTTCCTGGCCTTACTTTCCTGATGTGTAATACAGAATTACTTCACGGTAGCATGACAGTATAAGACACCAGCAGTAGATACAACTATGATGACACTCCATGAGTTGGTATTTTTAGTTCTAACTGCTAAATTTGTTCTCTTTACGGGACAGATTTCTAATAAAGTGCTTGGTCTTGAAATACATGGTTGGACAGAGGTGCCCTATCCCTTAACTATGAGCAGGTGCTACCTTTTGGGATATTTATTTGAAATTTTAATACTTTGGTACTCAATTGTCAATGTTCCATGGTGTGTATTTTTATTTTGGGGATTAGTGGGGGCCTAAAGGGAGAGGAATAGTCTCTTAATTACTACCTCTTAACCTAAAGCAATTATTTTGTTCCTGGAGCAAGTTAAATCTTTGTTGGAAGGAGCTTTGGCCATATATTTTTTAGCATGCATTGTTTTTGTGCCCTGAAAGTACTGGTTTAAGCACAGACTCAGGAAAATGGGCCAGTATAACAGGCCATCTCCAGGAAATTAGCTCTATTTGGGTCCTGACCTTCTCTTCCTGCCAAGCTAGCAGGCTTGCTCTTTCCCAAGGAATACACATCTTGCCTTTTTTTTTTTTTTTTTTTTTTTTGCCATGTTTACCTTTTCTTGGTCGTGTATAAGCAATAAAGCTGTTTTTTGTTCTTCACCATTCTTAACCCCAAATTTTCTTCTATGCCTTAGGCTTTGATGGTTCTTCCAACCCCCTTAATATGGCTTAGGGTGGTTTTGCAAAAACCTACAATCCCCCATTTGCACTACTGGCCATGGAACATTTATTTCTGGTGTTCCTGCCAATCAGAGATCTCTATATTAAATTCTAAAATGGGATTAAAAGAAGAGTTGGAGAATTCACACTTATTGAGTAACTGACGTGGTAACAACCTGGAATTTCTGAATTCCAAATAAATAAATTTCACTCTTTGAACATTTCATCTTTTACTTTTTAGCACCAACAGACTTGATAACAGCCTGATGCTGATCTGACAATGGGTTGACAGCCTTCCCCCACAGGCCCTTAAGTCTGCTTAATAACAAGTCCTTTGCTTCTGTCATTCTCCTGGGGGATGGCCTACTGCCCTCCTTTCTGTACAATCTGGGCAAACCGACTGGTGATGGCAAGAGTGGTGTCAATGAAGCGGTCTACACAGCTGGAGAGACAATTTTCAGTGCGAGAGTCTAGGCGATTCCCTGGCTTCTCCACACATTTATCCCAACATAACTCCATGAAGTGATGCACCTAAAAGGAAAGAAAAAGAGTAACCATTTGGGTCTGCAGATAGGCCTAACTCTTGTTTATCAACTTCTCACTTTTTGACACCTGACAAAACCATTCTTTAAATCAACCACGGAGTCACTTTAGGCTCTTCTCTTTCTTCATTTCCTAATTAGTCACCAATATTGATCCAGATCCTCGTCCCTACAGATTGTACATTCTCAGGACTAATAACCTTTTATATTCCCCAAAGTAGCTAGCACCAGTGTGAACAAACTAGGGAACCAATTAATTTCCCCAAACTATTGCACTCATTCCAAACCTATCCCCTAGACAAGGTAATTATTCCATTAACCTTTTGGGGGTTATGGATCCACTCCCCAGAAGAATGCACATACAGGCACAGAAATTATGTGCACTTTCATTTGCATGTTCAGGGCCCAAAGATTTCTAGCCAGGGTTCTTGCTGGTCATCCTCCAAGCACCCTCTTCCTCCCACCCACAAGGAAAAAAAATAACCCAAGAGCTTACTATTTGTGAGGCTGGTTACTAAGAAATCAGTTCTCTCTAAGGTCCTCAAGGATAGCTGTCATCACCTCCCATTTAAGAGGCGTGATTAAGTAGTCCAAGGTCATGTAGCCAGCAAGAAGTCAGGCCGGGTTAGAACCATGTCCGAAGGGCTCCAAACCCTTGTTCTAATCCATACTCTACAGCGACTACTTCAGAGTCCACCTTCCTCCAATAATGTTCTAGTCGTTTTCAAATACATTGTCGCATATGGTCCTCACAATTCAGTGAGGCAGTGGGGTGACGGCGAAACCAAAACCCAAAGTGGATTAGTATCTTTTCTACGGGCACGTGGCCTGCAAGGAGCAGAGGGAGGATGAGAACCCAGATCTTTTGAATGCCAGCCCAGTCATATCGCCGGCTAACTAGGCTCTCGTACCCTTGCGTCGCCCAAATCTTCTTCCCTGCTTTACACCTTTTCTTTTCTCCACGCTACGCTTACATAGCCGGCGCCTGAGCACTACCAGTCACCAGGGACAGGAGAGCCATGACTTGTCTTTTGTGAGGGGAATGGGATGCAGCCGGGATCGAGCACCAGTGAGCCGCCAGTGTACAGACCTGCGAGCGTGCCCAGGACCAGCAAGGAAGGTGAAACTTCCTTTCCCTTCACCCTCCCCGCCCCCGCACCTGTGCAGTAAACTGCGCCTTCTGCTGTTCGGCGGCCACCAGGCGCTGCAACTCAGCTTCATCAGCCTCACCCAGCTCCGCCATTGTTCGCCTCAGGCTCGCCACTTTCCGACAACCGTGTTTGCGCAAGCGCGACGGGTGTGCCCCGCCTATCCACTTCCGGTTCTCCCAGCATTTTCCTCCTCCTCGTTTTCTTTCGTCATCGTGGGTGGGAATTGTCGCCTAAGTGCTTCCGGGTTGGTGGATGACCTTGAGCCCTCAGGAACGAGATGGCGGTTGTCTGGAGGCTGAGTGCCCTTTGCGGTGCCCAAGGAGGCCGAGGTAAGGGGTCTTCGCACCCTGAGGTGCTTAGCACAGCCTCCAGCCAGGGAAGGGGATGAAAGTGAGGACTCATCTGCCGGGTGGGAGGTCTCTTGAGGAGAAGAAAATCCCGAAATCACAGCAATGACCACTGTAGTCTAGGGGTCCAGATGTTTACCGAAACGTGTATTTCACTTGCTGTGAGCTGAGTTGACGGAATAATCAGGAAGAGCGCTCGCTCTGGAAGTTGCAGTCCTGATGAGGCTAATCCACATAGGAGTTCTGTTTTCTCCCCGTTTACTGTCCCTAGAATGCTCCCCACTGGCTCCCACCCTGAATCGGGAAAGAGGGTTAGGCGCTTGCCCGTTTCTTCTGGAGTTGGTGTGTTTGGGTGTGGGAGTGGACGAGGGGATCAGTTCGAAAATCATTTAACCTGGGTATTTGTTCTACCGCAGGCACTGTAGTAATGCTAGGATACAAATGTAAAGGAAAACGTAGTTCCCGCCCTCAAAGAACTTTCACTCTGATGAGGAAAACACTGTCGTAGTAGTCCAGGCAAGATGGGGTCCTGAACTAGGAAAGTAGCACAAAGAAAAGATTGTTTCAAGAAATGTTAAAGAGATATGCCAATAGGATTTGGCGATTGAATTTAGGGGAAACGTCTCTCATGACTTCCAGATTACTGAGTTAGGTTAAAGAATGCCTGAGGTGTCATTAAATAAAGTAGGGAACATGCAGATGTTCCCTAGTCTAACTTCAGAGTAACCCCAGTGAAATAGATGCTATCATCATTTTACAGATGAGATGTTATTCCCTATTTAGGGTTAAGTAGCTTACCTATGGTCCTTTAGAAAGTTTTCAGTCCTGTTAAAGGAGGCGTTCTTATGATCATCCTACTCTTTCCTCAGCTCTGTTGCTGCGAACCTCAGTGGTCAGACCTGCTCATATCTCAGCATTTCTTCAGGACCGACCTATCCCAGAATGGTGTGGAGTGCAGCACATTCACTTGTCACCCAGGCACCATTGTATGTTCTCTCCATTGCTGCTGCTTTCTGGGCTCTAGCCATCTTTACCTTCACTAATTGTCATGCCTTGAGCAGGACTTCCTACCTGTAGGGGGGACTCTTGTGTCCAACTCTGTCAAATGAAGACCTAGTTTACACCTTTGGGCAGACTAGTGCCATTATGGTTGAATGATGCCATTTATAATCATAGAAGACCTTCTAGCCTAAGTCTTTAAAATTTTTTTCTTTTTTTTTTTGAGACGGAGTCTCGCTGTGTTGTGCAGGCTGGAGTGCAGTGGCATGATCTTGGCTCACTGCAACCTCCGCCTTCTGAGTTCAAGCGATTCTTCTGCCGCTGCGTCCCGAGTAGCTGGGATTACAGGTGCCCACCACCACGCCCAGCTAAGTTTTGTACTTTTAGTAGAGATGGGTTTCACCATGTTGGCCCGGCTGGTCTCAAACTCCTGACTTCCTCAAACTCCTGACCTCAGGTGATCTGCCCACCTCGGCCTCCCAAAGTGTTGAGATTGCAGTTGTGAGCCACCCACTCCCGGCCCACTAACTTACATTCATAAGGTAATTTGTTCACTTCACTGAACCAAGACTGCCTTAATTCTGTAGCAATAGAGCAATTCTGTATTTTATCCATCTTCTTGGATCTGTCTTCTAATCAATATGTAGGCATTGCGATACCCTTTTGCTAAAATACTTCAAAAAACAGAGATAAAGACTTCAAAAAACAAAGATAGCTTCTCTCTTAACTACTATTTTAATATTTTACTTCCTTTGTACTCAGAGTTATATCCTATATGTATACTGTCTGTCAGTTTGGGTTACTGTGTGGCATATGTTGAACATGAAAGATGTGTTTCTCACATCGACTTTTATGAATCTGGTCCTTTCTGTAGCTGGTTCCAAGGCTGCGTCTCTCCACTGGACTAGCGAGAGGGTTGTCAGTGTTTTGCTCCTGGGTCTGCTTCCGGCTGCTTATTTGAATCCTTGCTCTGCGATGGACTATTCCCTGGCTGCAGCCCTCACTCTTCATGGTCACTGGCAAGTATAGCAATTCCAAGTATAGTTGTCTGCTCAGTTTGTTTGCTGTGAGCTTGTCTTATGTATTATATATGAGAGAGAAGTTAATTGAAATGCTCTAAATTTGTTGAAAACTTTAAAATATATATAAAATATGTATATGCCCAGATTTATATATCCACCTGCCTATTCAATGTCTTTCAATTCGATTTCCATATCTAATAACATTTTGAATGTAGCTTGTCAAACTGAGTTTCTGATCTCTCCTAATCTGTTCCTCCTGCACTCTTGCCCATCTGAATTAATGGCATTTCCAGTTTTCTGTTTGTTCAAGTCTAAACCTGGTAAGCTCCAAACTTGGTCATTATCCTTGACTCTAGTAGTAGTCTCCTAACTGGTCCCCATTTGTGTCCATTCCCAACACAGCAGACCCAGTGATCCTGTTAAAATGTTAAGTCAGAATAAGACATTCCTCTTCTCAAAACCCTATTTTTTCTGTTCATGTTATTCAAAGTCAGAATTCTTAGAGTTGTCTGCAGACTCTACATGATTGAACCTCCCTGTTTCTTCCCTCATTTTTAGCTGCGCGCTCGCTCTCATTCACACGGGCTTCCTTGAGATTCCTTGAACATGCCAGGGACATTCTAGGTCTCAGGGCTTCTCTTACTGCTTCTGCCTGAAACTCTTTTTCTAGCTATACACTTGGCTTGTTCCTTCATCTCCTTCAGGTCCTGAATGTCATTCTCTCAACAAAGCCTTCCCTAAGCACTTATTCAAAATTGCAGTTTCTGTCCTACCATTCCTTATCTCTCTTGCTTGTTTTATTTTTCTCAATAGCACTTACTACCTTCTAATATACTACATCATCTGTTTATTATTTTGTATAGTAATTGCTTCTTTGCATTTTGTTTTATCACCCAAATGTATGTCCCTAAATAGTATAGTTTATTCTTGCCTCTTAAAAAAAAAGATACATGTGGGTGGGTTATTTTGTTGTTTTTACTGTGTGTGTTTGCTGTTGTGCCTCTAGAACATAGAACTACTGTCTGGTACCTGACATATAGCACTCAGTAAACACTTGCTGAATGAATGAGTATACAGCGTCTGTTTGTTTGTTTATTTATTTATTTATTTTTGAGACAAAGTCTCGCTCTGTCACCCAGGCTGGAGTGCAATGGCATGATCTCAGCTCACCACAACCTCCGTCTCCCAGGTTCAAGCGATTCTCCCTGCCTCAGCCTCCCAAGTAGCTGGGATTACAGGCGCGTGCCACCAGACCCAGCTAATTTTTTTGTATTTTTAGTAGAGATGGGGTTTCGCCATGTTGGCCAGGCTGGTCTGGAACGCCTGACCTCAGGTGATCCACCTGCCTCGTCCTCCCAAAGTGCTTGGATTACAGGCATGAGCCACCGAGCCCGGCCTATTTATTTATTTACTTTTTGAGACAGGGTCTCCCTTTGTCATCCAGGCTGCAGTGCAGTGGCATGATCTCGGCTTACTGCAACCTCTTCCTCCTGGTTCAAGTGATTCTCCTGCCACAGCCTCCTGAATAGCTGGGATTACAGGCACACACTACCACGCCCAGCTAATTTTTGTATTTTTAGTAGAAATGGGGTTTTGCCATGTTGGCCAGGCTCGTCTCGAATTCCTGACCTCAAGTAATCCACCTGCTTCAGCCTCCTAAAGTGTTGAGGTTACAGGTGTGAGCCACCACGTCTGGCCCAGCTTTTGTTTATTTTATCTGGTATAGTTTGTATGACTTTCTGTGTTATTGAACCTTCTAAAATGAGGGTAAACAACTCAAGGTTGGGTTCCTTGAGTTGTTCTTTTTAAGTTTTGCAGGAACAATATGTTGTCATTGTGGGGAGTATGGAGGCGCTTTCAGATTGTTGAAACTGGAAGTACTTTGGAGAGTGTCTTAACCAACTCTTTTATTTTACAAATGTGGCAACTAAGACCCAGGGAGGTTAAGTGACTTGTCAGAATCATTTTCTTTTTTTTTTTTTTTGAGACGGAGTCTTGCTCTGTCGCCCAGGCTGGAGTGCAGTGGCCGGATCTCAGCTCACTGCAAGCTCCGCCTCCTGGGTTTACGCCATTCTCCTGCCTCAGCCTCCCAAGTAGCTGGGACTACAGGTGCCCGCCACCTCGCCTAGCTAGTTTTTTGTATTTTTTTAGTAGAGACGGGGTTTCACCGTGTTAGCCAGGATGGTCTCGATCTCCTGACCTCGTGATCCGCCCATCTTGGCCTCCCAAAGTGCTGGGATTACAGGCTTAAGCCACTGCGCCAGGCCTAGAATCATTTTCTAGCTAGTGTTAAAGGTTTTTTTTTTTTTTCGAGACAGAGTCTCACTCTCACCCAGGCTGGAGTGCAGTGGTGCGATCTTGGCTCACTGCAACCTCTGCCTCCTGGGTTCAAGCAATTCTCATGCCTCAGCCTCCCAAGTAGCTGGGATTACAGGCACGTACCAACACACCTAGCTTGGTTTTGTATTTTTGGTCGATACGGTTTCACCATGTTGGCCAGACTGGTCTTGGACTCCTGACCTCAAGTGATCCTCCCACCTTGACTTCCCAAAGTGCTGGGATTATAGGCATGAACTGCCGTGCCCAGCCTAAAGGGGTTTTAATTATCTAGTTTTGTAGGACTAGTTAGGAGAATGAGTTGTTGTTGATGTTGTTTTTTAACCACATAGACCTTTCCAAATAAAAGATGCCAGTTGCATATGAAATATTAGATCACAAGTATAGTAAGTAATATTTCTCTAACATGTGATCCATCTCGAAGGAGCTATCTATAATTGTGCTCCACTTGCCCAACACTGAGTCTCTTTTAACCTGTATTAATTAGGGTTTTATCCCAACTATGTAACATAGGTTATTCTTACCAAGGGCACTGAAGGCCTTCATCTTTCCAAATCCGGTTGTCTATTCTCTGTCCTCCACTTGCTTGAAGTCTCAGCAGCCTTCAACTCAATTAATTCTCCCCGTAAGTCACTTTTCTTTGGCTTTCCAGATGCATAGAAGTCTCCTCTGCCAGATCCTTCTCCTCGTCTGACCTCGAGATGACAAAATCTTCAGGGCTGAGTCATGGCCTTCTTAATTTCTCCATCTGTACCCTCTTTCTAGGTGAGCTCAGATCTGACCTGTTTTTCTGAGCTGCAGACTTATTTATCTCATTGTCTAATTGACATCCACTTGGATGTCTAATAGTTATCCTAGATCTAACATTGGCCAAATCACTCTTTTTTTCCCCCAAATCTCCCTTGATTTCTCCTTTAAAGCCCCCTTCTCAGTTAAAGCTATGCTCAAGCTAAAATTCTTAGGAGTCATTCTACATACTTCTTTTTGTTCTTACCCCACATCTATTCCCTAAGTTCTGTTCTTTCTTTAAAAAATAGTCTGAATCGGCCAGGTGCGGTGGCTCATGCCTGTAATCCTAGCACTTTGGGAGGCCAAGGCGGGTGGATCACACGAGGTCAGGAATTCGAGACCAGCCTGGCCAGTATGGTGAAACCCTGTCTCTACTAATAATACAAAAATTAAGCTGGGCGTGGTGGCACCTGCCTTGTAGTCCCAGCTACTCGGGAGACTGAGGCAGAAGAATCACTGGAACCCAGGAGGCGGAGGTTGCAGTGAGCCGAAATTGCGCCACTGCATTCCAGCCTGGGCAACAGAGTGAGACTGTCTCAAAAAAACAAAAAAACAAAACTCTGAATCAGGGTGGGGGGGAAGGGGATGGAGAGCATTAGGATAAATACCTATTGCATGCAGAGCTTAAAACCTAGATGACACGTTGATAGGTGCAGCAAACCACCATGGCACATGTGTACCTGTGTAACAAACCTGCACATTTAGCACATGTATCCAAGAACTTAAAGTAAAAGGGAAAAAAAAAAAAAGAAAATAGACATTATTACAAAAAAAAAAAAATAGTCTGAATTGTCACTTTACACCCTGTCACCAGCCTAGGTTAAGCCAACAGTCTCACCTAGGCTACTTCAGTTGCCTTCTAACCAGTTTCCTGTTCACCTGTTACTCTGGTCCCCCACCCACACTGTTCATTCATCATACTACAGCAATAGTGACCTTTTAAAACGTAAAATTATATTCCTCCAAAGTAGATATACAGATGGCCAGTAAGCACATGAGAAATTGCTCAGCATCATTTGTCATTAGAGAAATGCAAATCAAAACCACAATGAGATACCACCTCACACCCCATTAGGATGGCTGTAATAAAAGATGGACAGTTGTAAGTGGTGCTGAGGACTTGGAAAATTGGAACCCTCATGGTTCTGTTGGGAATATAAAACGTTTCAGTCACTTTGGAAAACATTCTGGCAGTTACAACACAAAGTTAACCTTAGAGTTACCATAGACTTGGCAATCTACTTTTAGGTGTATACCCAAGAGAATTGAAAACGTGTCCACACAAAGAACTTGTATAGGAATGTTCAGAGCAGCATTATTTATAATAGCCAAAGAGTGGAAACAATCCAAATGTCTGTCAGTGGATGAATAGCTAAACAAAATATGGTGTATTCATACAATAGAATATTATTCAGCCATACAAAGGAATGATGTATTGATAAATGCTATGACATGGATGAACATTGAAAACATTATGCTAAGTTGACACAAAGGCCATATATTGTATGGCTTTTTTTTTTTTTTTTTTTTTTTGAGATGGAGTTTTCCTCTTGTCATTCAGGCTGGAGTGCAATGGTGTGATCTTGGCTTGGCATGAACCTGCAGTCTCGGTTCACCGCAACCTCTGCCTCTCGAGTTTAAGTGATTCTTCTGCCTCAGCCTCCCAAGTAGCTGGGGTTACAGGCATGCGCCACCACACCTGGCTAATTTCGTATTTTTTTGTAGAGACAGGGTTTCTCCTTGTTGGTCATGCTGGTCTCGAACTCCCAACCTCAGGTGATCCGCCTGCCTCACCCTCCCAAAGTGCTGGGATTACAGGTGTGAGCCACCATGCTCAGCCGTGTATGGGTTCTTTTACATGAAATGCCCAGAATAGGCAAATCCATAGAGACAGAAAGTAAATTTGTAGTTGGGCAGTGGGCTAATAGAGGGTTTCTTTTTGGGGTAATGAGAATGTTCTGAAATTAAATAATGATGTTTGCACAACTCAATATACTAAAAAACCACTGGATTGTATACTAAAAAGGGTGAATTTTTTATGGCATTTGACTTAGATTTCAATAAAACTGTTATAGAAATGGTAAAATTAGGTCACTCCTTACCTACATCACTCCTTGCTTAAAACATATCAGTGGTTTCCTATTATATTTCATATAAAATTCAGATTCCTTATCATGACCTTCAAGACCCTATGCAACTGGCCCCTGCCTTCCTCTGATCTCTGCTTCACCCATGTGCTCCAGCCACACAAATCTTACTATTCATTAGAGATGCCACTTTTGTTTGGGTGTTCTCATTCATGCCTTCCTTTCTAAAGTGTTTCTTCATAGTATATATATGTTTATTTTTTCCTTCTCTTTCACTAGCAAATTCCATAAAGGCAGGGATGCTATCTCACTTACTATACTCCCAACATTTATGACAGATTCTGGCACATAATATCTACTTAATAAATTCTTTTTGAATTAATTAAAAATACTGTAGGGTTTTAGTTATTTTTAGTTATTGAGGTGAGAGGATCACTTGCAGCCAAGAGTTCAAGACCAGCCTGGGCATCATAGTAAGACCGCATCTCTAAAGAAAGAAAAAACAGACCAGGAGCGGTGGCTCATGCCTGTAATCCCAACACTTTGGGAGGCTGAGGCAGGGGAATCACAAGGTCAGGAGTTCCAGACCAGCCTGGCCAATATGGTGAAACCCTGTCTCTACTAAAAATACAAAAATTAGCTGGGCGTGGTGGTGGGTGCCTGTAGTCCCAGCTACTTGGGAGGCTGAGGCAGGAGAATTGCTTGAACCCGGGAGGCAGAGGTTGCTGTGAGTCAAGATCGTGCCACTGCACTCCAGCCTGGGCGACAGAGTGAAACTCTGTCTCAAAAAATAAATAAATAAATAAATAAATAAATAAATAAACAATTAGCCGGGCATGGAGTCCCAGCTACTTGGCAGGCTGAGGCGGGAGGATCACTTGAGCTCAAGAGTTCAAGGCTGTAGTGAGCTATGATCAGGCCGCTGCACTCTAGCATGGGCAACAGAGTAAGACTTTGTCTCTAAAAAAAAGATTCACTAGAAATAGACTTACTGACATACACACACAAAAGGCTATACAGAATCCCCTAAAGAAGCAAACAGTGCACTGGAGTGGCAGATGGAGACATTGCATTTGAACTTGACAGATTGTTTTTTTGCAGCCAAGTTATCTGTGTAGTCTCCTAATTTCACTGTGATTTTTCATTGATGTTATGATTTTTTTCTTTTTCTTTAGGGGCCTTGGACAAGTTGTTACTGACTATGTTCATGGGGATGCCTCGCAGAAAGCTGCCAAGGCAGGGCTTTTGGCACTTTCAGCTTTAACCTTTGCTGGGCTTTGCTATTTCAACTATCACGACGTGGGCATCTGCAAAGCTGTTGCCATGCTGTGGAAGCTCTGACCTTTTTGACTTCATACTTTGAAGAATTGATGTATGCCTCTTTGCCTCTGCTTTGTCATGCCATTCAGCTCACAATAAGGAAGAAATAACAGATAAGTCCATTTGTGGACAGCCTTTTTCTCTTAATAATCTTAATCTTAAGATTATTTTCAGAATTTAATCTTTGAGGAAAAGGTTTGAGAGGAATTGTGTCTAAGAAATTGTGAGACTGAGTTCTGTATTCTGGTGAGTTAATGGGGTTGCCTCCCAGCTTCTCATAAGACTCACAGTATAACTAAACATGATATATGAGCTTTTGCCTTTTAATTTATCAATCTCTTGAAGATAATCCAGCTTTATTACTATTAGTATATGATCAAACTTCCATATTTGCCCTGGCAATAATGGACAAAGGGAAATACTCTTAATTCATGAATAAAAACTTTGCAGAAAATTAGACAGTGTTTAATTTTTGAAAACTTCCCTCTCTAGTCAGTAGATACCACCTACTGATGGTTACGTATACTAGGGAAATTTTAAAATTAGGAAATGCTGACATCTCACATTATAAATTTCTAAATCCTAGGAAGAAATGCTTGGAGTGCTTCTGAATGTAGAGGAGTTCCATTTTAGGGCAAGTTTCCTCTTGTAGATGTATCAAAATATTTCCAATTCTAAACTGAGATTTAATTCTCAAATGTGTTCTACTTGTTCTAAAACAAATATAAAACTCTTAAGTAATAAATTGTTATTTTCGCACAATGGGAATCTCTAATGTGAAAATGTATTCTATGAAGATAATTTTTTTAAAAATAAAATGTTGTATAATAAAAATGTCTTCTCCGCTTTTGTAAGTTAGCTATCAGTAGTTTTATTCATTAGAATTTGGTGTCTGTTGCATCCACAGCATGATTACAAAATTGTGTGTTTAAATTTCCTTCTGGGTAGCTTAGCAGTTAGGTAAATCAGACACAAAGTACTGGAAAACAAAAAGGACTTACATGTAATAGGCAGAAATATACCAAGTATAAGTAGTTTGGTATAAATAGAGTATAAGATTTAGTATTTAAGTAGGAATAAGAACTATGTCCAGATTATGGTGTTCTGTGAATACCAGCCTTTGGAATTCAGATTATATTCTATGTGTATTTAGTCTGGTCTAAGAGTTGAGTGTAAGGCATGATGCTTTCTTCTAGCAATATGGAGTAACTGGGACTGAGCACATTTCACTCACCGAGGACCTTAATGGGAAGCTGAGGCAAAGGAAGCGTATGTGTTCATGAATGTGTACTAGGGGTTAAAGACATGCTCTCCTTAATGTGCCTGTGGTCTTGTAGGAGACTCAAGTGAGTGTGCATTAGGGTTTAGGAAGAGGTGATTAATTCTGTTTTGGGGTGGGTAAAAGGTTTCAAAAGGGGGTGATGCCTGAATAGCAGTGGCACACCAACAGATGGTGGTGGGACCAGTCCACCCTGGTGGGAGAGAATATGTAAACAATATTGACATTGTTTAGAATTACTGGTGCTTGATGATGAGAAAAAACAAATTAACTAAAAGTCAATTTTATTGTTTTAAAATTCTTTCTAGACAATGGATCCCCTCCCTACCTTGTAGTGTCATTCCTTCCCCCACCCCCGCCAGCCCTCAGTATACCGCTGCTGTAGAGTGGAGTGATGAAATGGAATCTTCCATAAAGTCAAAATGGGGATGGCAGTGACTCTGGATAATATGGAATCCCATAGCTATCTCCAATACCATCAGATCTAATACCATCAGATCCTAGATATAGAAGGCTATCTAGTACTAATAAGCTTCATTAGATGGTGAACGGAGAAGTTGGAGTGGAGGCTGGTTCGGCACTGCCTGCCCCATGTCCCAGCTGGTTTGGTCATTAGGATGGAGCTGAGCTGCCTTTGGGAAACCAGTAGGTTGCTATGAGCTGCTGGAAAATGAGGCAAGATTCCAGAATCTTGTGGCTCATGCCTGTAATCCCAGCACTTTGGAAGGCTGAGGCAGTAGGATTGCTTGAGGCCAGGAGTTTAAAACCAGCATGGGCAATATAGCAAGATCCTATCTCTACAAAAATACAGTAAGACAAAAAAAGATTAGCCAGGCATTAGCAGTGGCATGTGCCTGTAGTTCTAGCTACTTGGGAGGCCGAGGTGGGAGAACTGTTTGAGCCCAGGAGTTTGAGGTTACAATGAGCTATGATCACACCACTGTATTCCAGCTTAGGTGACAGTGAGACCTTGTCTCTTAAAAAAAAAAAAAAAAAAAAAAGGTCAAGGGCTAACAGCAATAGCAGTTTCTGATGGTAAGCAGGACATGATCAGAACTGTGCTTTAGAAATAATTTAGGTACCATTAGGTGGGTTAATAAGCTAGAGGCAGAAGGACATGTGAGGGGATAGAGAAAGAATAAAGGGCCTGAACTTTGAGAGTAGCAGTGGAGGTAGGAGTCAATCTCCAAAGGTATTGTAGAAGTCAAAAACATTCATTCATTTGGTAGATACTAAGTACCTCATGTTATCAGCACTGTGCCAGGTACTGTGGATAAAGATAAAATTTTACCTGTCTTTGAAGGGAATTCATAGTCTAATTGGGGCAACAGTAGAATGACTGCAATACGGTGTAGTAAGTGCAGTAATGGTGAAGTACATCATGTGCTGTGATGTAACAAAGGGTGCAGTAAGGATTTGCCTGCAAGTTTCCTGAAAGAGAAGATTTGTAACCTGGGTTTTGAAGATAAGGAGCTGACAGTGGCCGGGAAAGCTGGGGTGAGGTGTAGGGTTGACTGGAGGATGGCAGATCAAGCAAAGGATGATACGTAATTTGGTATGACCCAGCAGAGGGAGGGACTGATTGTAGAGGATCTTGTATGCCATCATAAGTAATTGAAACTTTATTTTTATATTTTTTATTTTTTGAGACAGGGTCTGGCTCTGTGACCCAGGCTGGAATGTAGTGGCGTGATCTTGGCTCACTGCAACCTCTGTCTCCTGTACTCAAGACATCCTTCCACCTCAGCCTCTTGAGTAGCTGGAACTACAGGCACATGCCACCATCCCTGGCTAATTTTTGTGTTTTTTGTAGAGATGGGGGTCTTGCTCTGTTGCCCAGGCTGGTCTCGAACTCCTGGCCTCAAGTGATTCACCCACCTCGGCCTCCCAAAGGGCTGGGATTTCAGGCATGAGCCACTGTGCCAGGCCTGAGACTTTATCTTGACAGCAATAAGATGTCACTGAAGACTTAATTATGCAAACAGCATGATCCGATTTTTATTTTAAATAGGTTTTGCTGACAGCTATGTAAAGAATGGATTTGCGGGAGGTAAGCATGGAAACAGATTATTTTAGTGACCCAGAAAAGAAATAATGAATTGTGAAGGCAATTGTAGGTAGAATGAAGGAGAGAACAAATGTAAGAGATATTTAGAACTTAGAATCAATGAAAGTTATACTAAGATGTGAAAGTTTGAGGAAGGAAGGAGCCTTTGCTCAATTTTTTGTTGTAAATAGGTGGATGGGAAGTAGTGCCATTAAAGAAAAATGTTGAAGGAAAATTAGATACGGCAGTGGAATCAGTAACTACTGAAGTTTTGGATTTGTGAGACAGCTAGGAAGAGAGAGAATTTGTAGACTTCTATTTTTTTGGCAATATGGCAGACTCAATTTTAGAAAGTATTTACTTTCTAAAATTATATATAATAATATAATATGAAGCCTATTAGAATGGTAAATAAGAACACCTTTAAAAATATTTCACTTATTTATTTGGGACGGAGTTTCGCTCTTGTTGCCCAGGCTGGAGTGCAATGGCGTGATCTCGGCTCACTGTAACCTCCGCCTCCCGGGTTCAAGCGGTTCTCCTACCTCAGCCTCCCAAGTAGCTGGGATTACAGGTGCCCACAACCACACCCAGCTAATTTTTGTATTTTTAGTAGAGACGGGATTTCAGCTATGTTGGCCAGGCTGGTCTCAAACTCCCAACCTCAGGTGATCCACCCACCGTGGCCTCCCAAAGTGCTGGAATTACAGGCCACCGCACCCAGCCAAAATGTATTATTTAGTTTGCAAAAAGAAATCCTCTGGAGCCTTACCAAAGTAAGTCTACAGTTAAGGAGGTAAGCAAGTGCTTAGGGTATCAGTTACCCCAAGAGCATCTACTAAGCCCAGGTGACCCAGAGTTCTAGTCGTCTTCTTCTTAATATACACATATTTTTTGAGACAGAGTCTCGCTCTGTCGCCCAGGGTGGGGTGCAATGGCACGATCTCGGCTCAACGCAACCTCTGCCTCCCAGGTTCACGCCATTCTCCCACCTCAGCCTCTGGAGTAGCTGGTACTACAGGTGTCCGCCACCACGCCCGGCTAATTTTGTTTTTGTATTTTTAGTAGAGATGGGGTTTCACCATGTTGGCCAGGATGGTCTTGACCTCCTGACCTCATGATCCGCCTGCCTCGGCCTCCCAAAGTGCTGGGAATACAGGCATGAGCCACTGTGCCCAGCACTTATTATTATTATTATTATTATTATTTTGAGACAGAATCACGCTCTGTTGTCCAGGTTGGAGTGCAGTGGCATGATCAAACTCACTGCAGCCTTGATCTGTGCTCAAGTGATCCACCTCAGCCTCCTGAGAGTAGCTGGGATTACAGACTTGTACCACCATACCTGGCTAATTTTTTTGATTTTTAGTAGAGATGAGGTCTCACTGTGTTGCCTAGGCCAGTCTCAAACTCCTGAGCTCAAGTAATCCACCTGCCTTTGCCTCTCAAAGTGCTTGCATTATATGCCTGACCCACTGTGCCCAGCCAGATTCTAGTTTTAAGAAGGTGGCACATAGGCCAGGAGCAAAGCTTTGGGCTCAAACCAGGGAGTTAGAATGAAGATTCCCCTAATCCAGGAACCATAAAGAGTTTTACTCTCAGAGAAAGGGTGAATTAGAAAAAATGATATTTTGCCGGGCGCAGTGGCTCACACCTGTAAATCCCAGCATTTCGGGAGGCCGAGGTGGGTGTATCACCTGAGGTCGGGAGTTCGAGACCATCCTGACCAACATAGAGAAACCCCGTCTCTACTAAAAATAAAAAAATAAAAAATAAAAAAAAAAGAAAGAAAAAAAGAAAAAAATTAGCCAGGCGTGGTGGGTGCCTGTAGTCCCAGCTACTCAGGAGGCTGAGGCAGGAGAATGGCGAGAACCTGGGAGGCAGAGGTTGCACCATTGCACTCCAGCCTGGGCAACAAGAGTGAAACTCCATACCCTGCAAAAAGAAAAAACGATATTTACCTGAAAAAGGAGAGAGCAGAGCAGTGTGTGTATCTTGCCTTGGCTCAGGTTGGAGGAAAGAGTCTCTTCTGAGAATATGTGGCTACGAGCCAGTCCTCATGCCAGTTTGGAGTCTGAGTTCAAGTTATCTGCATATCTAAAAAGGTTACATGCTGCAAATTTAACTTTGACCTAGGTTTGTAGGTCATGGAAGTCAGCACAAATCCTCACCAGAGAGAGAATGGTTACCCTAACACATGCTTCAAAAATCCCCATGAAGTTCCAGTGAACGTGAACTGTCAGCAAAAATCACAGCATAGGAACGTCCTGAACAAGAGTCAGCACAAACAAACAGAACCATACCCACAAAGAATTCAGACCTGGGAATTTTCAGATACACATTATAAACATAAGATGAGATATAAGTCTAAATATAAGTCCATTTTCTGATCAGAGATCAGAAAGTCTTTGGAGAGAGTGGTATACACTTGATGTTATCGCCTCAATCCATAGAATCTTAGAAATTAGATATCTATTTAGGAGAGTTTTCTCCTCTGGACACCTGATAAT